GCTTCATAAAAGCAGGAAATGATCAGCGTGTTAATAGGAGAAGGGACAGAGCGGTGTGGAATAAAGGTAAATTATGTGAAAAATAATGTTTTTTTTTTTTTAAACTAAGCATTAACACATGTTAGACTGCACCCCATAAACACAATCAAGCCTAGAAATAAACATGTGAACCACCCCTTTAAGTTTTTTTTAGTTGCCATAGGCCGCCAGGTGTTTGTACTGTCATTTGATTGACATACTATATGATTCACAGCCAATTTTGAAATCTGAATACCTACAGATGTGACAATATAACAGACATCGCATCTGGAAAAGAACAATTTATTTTCTCTGGTCAAAACTGGCTTGTACATTACATGTCATAATTTCCACCAGACAGTAAAACTGAAACTTAACTAAAGGAAAACTTTGCTGTGAGGTGAGATGCAGGATGAAACCAAAAGATAATTATTTGCTTTGACAAGGGATTTTCAGGAAACACAAAAGCAAAAGCTGAAGAACAATAAAGATAAGAGTCATATGAAGACAAATCTGATCAAATTTGCCCTGGTGTCACTGAACAGGCAGACACTGAGCATTCATCCACAACATCCTTCCATTGTTCCTGTACTTAAAAAAACATAACTAAAGGTCAAACAAAGACTCATCTGAGGTCTCATAACACACATTTATTGACTACACAGCTAAATTTAAAAGAAGCTAGTCACTGACATCTATAAATATTTTAAACTAGATGGTAGATATACTGTTTAGCCCATGCATGTGACATTCCCAAAGGCATATTCCATTTTCAAAGGAGCATTCCAGGAAAATATCAAGAAAAGGTCTATCCAGATCATTTTAAAATGTAATAATTCATAACATTTACATTCTCTTCCCCTCAAGGCAGCTGCATTCATGAAAGACTTAGTAGATCTAAACTCAAAGTCAGTCTTTGTGATATCTCATCAGCGGTTTTTATCATCAGTTCCAATAATTCTTCGTGAATAAGCAGTAAGTCGTACACGCTAAAGTACTAAAACGTTCCTGACAAGGTAAAAATGGTTGGGTTCACAGTCAAAGCAGACAACCAAATGTTACAAACAAAACAAACAAACAAACAAAAAAGTTAAATAATTAAAAAGGAATAGAAAATAGTGCTGTCAAAATTAGCGCGTTAACACAGGCGATTAATTTTTCCAGTTTAACGGTGTTAAAAATATTTAATGCAGGGGCGGACTAGGGTTGACCACCCCACGCACAACTGCTGCTACTGTCTCTTTTTTCTTGACAAGAATTGTGTTTATTTAGATTCACAACCTCTTTACGACCACTACAAACGGGAGACTTTTCAGACGCACACTCCAACTTCGCCTCAGCGCCAGGCACTAGTCAAACGACAAGGAGTTTCAGTACAACAACAGTGAACTGCGGTCAGATGAGATGTTGTCAGGCCATATGTCAGTAAAAAGAAATTTTCCTGTCCTTTTGTGCGGCTGTAGCCTGTATCATTTTATATTAAAGCGGAAATGAAACTACAAGCATGCGTGTATCAGATCCCCATCACATTCAGCAGCGTCAGCTCCTAAAGTCATAGCAGCCAAAAAACCTAACCCAGCTGCTGTGATGTCTGTTAATCAAAGAACAAAAGAAAAAAGACGAAATCAATTAACTTTTGCAGCTTTAAGGATTCGTCTAATTTAGAATTTAGTGTTTGATAACCAATTTCTGTATTTCCTACTTGCTGAAGGGCACACGTATGACATTTATTATGATGGGTTTATGTGAAGATTGTTTTAAGTTCACTTAAATTAGAAGTTGCTATTTTGCTAAAGTCTAATAAATGTTCAAATTGATAGTTCTCAATTATTCTGTAATGTTGAATGGCTATAGTCAATGGTTAGGAAAAAAATAACAATTTCATAGAGACATCAGTAGTATTGGTATCAGTGATAATCGCCTTCAGTCATAATAAATGATGCCATTAAACAAATAATAAAAATATACTGTCTTTATGTTGTTTCTACATTCATTTGAAGATTGAATGTCAAATCATTGCAATATTAAAGTATATTTAAAAACTTTAATGTTTGGTGGGATTAATGTGCGATTAATTAGTTATTTTTTAATCGATTGACAGCACTAATAGATTATTATATTATATTATATTATATTATATTATATTATATTATATTATTCCAAGATAAAGTTACTTGAATGGTTCTTTAAAAATAATAATGCAATGATTAATTATTTTTACATTATCTAAATCATGTTTTTTGTTCTGCAGTCACACTGGATATGAAGAGGTTATCATCTATAGGATATAGATAATAATTTTGACTATTTGAAATATTTTTACTATTATTTTGAACTATTGTTCAAAAGTTTGACATCAGGAAAATTATTTTTGAAAGGCAGTAATACTTGTATTCAGCAGGGATGCATTAAATGGATCAAAAGTGACAGTAAAGGAATTAATAATGGTACATAAGATTTATATTTTTAAAAAATGCTGTTCTTTTGAACTTTTATTAATCAGATACCACTGGGGAAAAAAACCAAGATATCCACAAAAGTATTACGGAGAACAACTGTTTTCAACATTGAAATGTTTCTTGAGCAGCAAATCAGCATGTTAGAATGATTTCTGAAGGATCATGTGACATTGAAGACTGGAGTAATGATGCTGAAAATTCAGCTTTAACATCACAGGAATAAATTACATTTTAACATATTAAAACTGAAAACAATTATTTTAAATTGTCATATTTATTTCATTTTACTGTGCTAACTTTTTTGATTATATAAATGCAACCTTAATGAGCATACACTGAAAAAAAATATTCATTGAATTTACTAAATGCATTTTAAGGTAAGTGGTTACATTTAAATACAGCTACATTTAAATAAACAGATTTAGTTGACTAACTTTAATTTTTTTCTTTTCTTTTTAATGTAGCTAAAATAAATTGTTTGCAACCACTTACCTTAAAAAAATTTAGTATCATTTCTTTTTTAGAGACTTTCAAAACATTTTTTAAAATCTTACAGAGCCCAAACGTTTGACCAGTATACACTACTTTTCAAACGTTTGGGCTCTGTAAGATTTTTTTTTTTTAAATTTAATATAGATAACATTAATTCATAAATCATTCTCGCAGTCAACATTAAATATCACAGATCCATTGGAAACCAGTTCATGTCTCACCTCGTTCTTTAATCTTAACGAAGCCTGTCTTTTCCCTCTCTTGAGAGAAATGACTTTAGCTCTGACAGCTAACATGTTAAGATGTCTCTCAGCTTCAGAAGGTACAAATCTATCCCAGGAACATGGAGAAGATCTCTGCACACAAAAGAAAGCGGAAAAAAGCATTAAATGGCGTGAGAACTTTGATCACAAACAGGTATAGGTTTAGATTTATAGTTGGGTGAGTCTAGGGACCATAATAGGTCCTAATAAGAGTAATAGGGGGCTTGTTTGAGGGACAGAGAAAGATCATGAGTCTAAAATCAAATAATTCATTGCATCATCTGTAAAACATTGTCATGCAAAGGATTTACATTGAAAAAGACATAGTGAGCAGGAAGCCTTGCTTTCATAAACCCATTATGAAACATGAGAACGTAAGAAAAAGAGAGGAGGAGAGAGGTGTGGGCTTGAAAAGGCGGAGAAGAAGTTAATGAAAAAGACAAGGAGGGGGTGAAGGGAAGGAACAGAGAGAGTTCCCGAGACACCAGTTTAATCATTGTGCTTGGCAAGAATGCGCTCTAAATTCACTGTCTGCCTGCACGTTCATTTTGATGGTGGATCGATTCATTTATGAGCTTTTCTGTCACTCTGCTTCAACTCTGCACAGCAAAACATCACCTGGATCTGCTCAAATGCATCTAACTGAGGATTGTAGACTTCTCCTGCTGGATCGGTGAGCCAGATGAACAACCCTACACCCCTTCACTTCTACAGAACCAAGGTAGGCTTGAAGGTCTTCAGTGGAACTATACTCATGGTCCTTCTAAAAGCTGGAAACACACTCTCTTATTGATTTGACTTTGAAAAGACGATTAGCAATGCTTTTTTACATATTCTCATTTTATGGGGTACTAGTTTTTTGACATGTTAAGATGATTTAGTGGTGATTAAGTGGTAGTATTTATGCATTTCTCTGCCCTGTCACTACATCGACTGATATGGTATATCTGTGCTACACTGTCAATAAATAGTACAGGTTTTTTTTGCATTTATTTGCAAAGTGACCAGACTGTGGTTAAATCTCCCTAGAGGATTATTGACTATTAGATTAGTGTATGCTGGCTGTTAAAGTTAATGGCATGATATCAAACGACATTTTAAAAATATGGAGCAGATGCAGAAATATCAAAAGCAGCAGGATGCAGTGCTGACAGAGAGTGATAAAAAAAAGAGAAAGAATGAAAGAGAAAAGATATATTGATAGTGAGGGAAGACAGTTGACAGTGGCATACCTGGCAAAAAAAGACAGTAATTCTTCATTTTGACTTTCCAGCAACTTGCAAGAATAGCTTTCATGACAGAAGTTAGAAGAAAATAGTGAAGCGTTCTCACCATTTCTATTCATGCATTGATTATTTTTTTATTTTATTTAATATTTTTATACCATACATATATAAATAAAATATATTTATAATTACATATTAAACATATCCATTCACATTTATATATATCAGACAGTTGCATAAGGAAGAACTGCTTATTAAAAATCTAAATTTAAAAATGCAAAATGGTGTATGTGAGAGGCATGTTTAGGTTTATTGTCTTCCCTGATGATAGAAAAACAAACGTCTCTCTCTCTCTCTCTCTGTGTGTTTCTTTGCCTGTCACTACAGGGGAAGAATGTGTGTGTTCTCATGCTACTGTGTGTTCCCCTCTCCATGATGGACATCCCTGGTCCTTGCAAACATGCCATAACCATGGACCACCTGCTTCAACTAAAACAACTGGTGAGGAACCAGATCACAATAAAGCTTCATGGAGTCATCCTTTGATTTCAAATGTAACACCTCTGTCTTAACTATTGGTCATTTTACTCTTCAGATCAGCAACCAGTTGCGGACTGGCTGTTCAATCACATATACATTCATAGAGAGAAAACACCTGGTAAGAGGGTCGTTAAAACCCTGTCTTCCCCTGCTTTGTGCTTAAAAACAGATTTGTGTTTTTTCCATAATACAAGCTTCTATTCCAAAGTCTTCTGTTTTGAATCTGGCTTTGGAAATGCAGCAAAGTCGGAGGTGTGTTTTAGATTAGATGCTCACTCCAAATTGTCATCACTCATTGCTGAGATTTCCATTATGGCACCCTTGGCATGGTTGAATTCAGCATGCATTTTGATGAAGCTCTTAGATGTTTCTGTTATTTTATGTTATTTTGTAAAACAGCCTTTTTTTTGAAGACAGTCTGAACTTTGGTTTAGTTTCTTAAATCTGAAGCAAAAAGTCAATTGTACCATCTTACAGAAGATAATTCACAAAGTACATAGTGTTAGTATCAATTCAGTCGCTGATTCACTAAACCAGCGACGTAAACACCAGCAAAACCAAAGCCAACTGCCCGATCTCTTTTGAAAGCAAAGTCAAGTACACATGCTAATGTGCCAGATTTTGTTCTGCAGGTTTTTCCAAACTGCTTCTTACTCATTTATCTTCCTTGTCTTTTAGAGCGTGGTGTGTTATGTCAAAGCTGCTCTGCCAAGGGTGCTTGAACTGTTTAACGTCCATTTCAAATACGTGCGGGGCTCAGGAAGTGCTCAAGCAGTGGTCTCCATACAGAACCTCATTCTCAACATCTACTCCCAACACTGCATACCTTCACTGGACGAGCAACTGGAGGTGTGTGCACACTCACACAGTGTTGGGGAAAGTTCCATTTAAAAGTAATGCATTACATTACTTGCGTGTTACTTTTTGTCACCTGGGCTGGGCTTGCTTATTTGTTCTTTAATAACTAAAAAACACAAAAGTTATATTTTTGGCAGTTGTAAAGGCCCTTTTTCACACCAAAAGTGAAATTAATAAGCCTCAAGCTAAAGGAAGTGCTTATGTACCTCACTTTAGAAGTTACTTAAAGTAATCTGATTATGTTACTCCGTTACTTGTAATGCGTTACCTCCAAAACTGCTTATACTCAAACATCTTGTTCTCAGGGACAAAAAGCCTCACTTTATGGATCGCTAGGTTACTTTAAGATTAATCAGTGAATTTTTATGAACTCACAGTAAACTATTATTTTGGTAACACTTTACAATAAGGTTCAATTCTTAAAAATAAAGGTTCTTTATTGGCATTTATGGTTCCATGAAGAATCTTTAACATCCATGGTTTCTTTCCACAGAAAAAAATATCTTTATACACATTTTTCCAATGCCCCTTTGACGCTTTTTGTGAAATATGGGAATAAACTGTAAAAAAATCTGTTAAAGTTTCGCTCTATGAATGAAATCGGACAATAAAGGGAAATGTGTACAAGTCTAAAAGCGTTAACAATTTACTTTCAACAGATCAGGAATAACCCCAAAAGCTCGATTATGTGAGTCTGCAGCAATATTACAGATGTGTTAAATATCACAGTAGTAATGTCTGCATTATGTAACATTCGTTGCCCTAATCAAAAATGTTCAATGACTGGAACATTGAGTGATAATATTTCAAAGCCATTTTCATCATTTTGACAGACAAAAAATATTATATTTACCTGCTTTAGAAACCTTCCAGTAAACACTGTTAATAAGGATTCGAAGTGAAAAAGGGAAACAACTACATTTTAAAGCATCCATGTGGAAATAAACCAGGAAAGAGATGTGAGGATTTGGAAAGAAAAATGAGAGATTCTTAGTGCATTCCAGTGAATCATGGAATATAGTTGTAAATGAAATAGGGAGAACAGACACATATGCAAAAAAAAAAAAATAATAAATTAGAAAAGAAAAGAATGCAGCAGACTGAAAAGAGCTCTTGCCATAGATATTCTTGTGGAGATACTATATATACCACATTAAAATAAACATTACATTATTCTCTTGACATCTGAAAATCAATCATTCAGTCCAACTAAAAGATAAGGATCGGTGGTCTGATATTTTTTAATACTCGTTGTTGTCCATAGTTCTGAGTCAGTGATTCAGTGATCCATTTGTTCCTGAATCAATCAACTATTCTGAATGAATCAACCATTTTAAACAAATCAGTTAAAATAATGATTCAGTCAGTGGCGGGCCGTGCATTTTACACCTAGGCCTTCAGTGGCATCCTACATGAATTAATCCATCTCTTGAGTCATTCCACAAAACCGGTACGATTTGGACTTACACATTTTTATCAATGTATAAATGTATTATACATCAAATGTATTACTTTTCTGAACACCTCACAACATTAATGACATATTTAACTTCCAGAAAAACATATTTTCCCACCTCAGGCATCAAATCCCTATTATTATTGGTCATTATTTTAATATATGGGCACTATTAGTCTTCAACCCCGTTATGGACACTATGGGAGCTCTCTGAATATGATTATAAAATGTATTTGTAATGAAATCAACATTTTCCTGTTAATCAGATGTCCCTCACACTAATTCAGTATTTGCAAATATAAAAGTTACATAAAATCTCACACTTTTGCTATACTAAAGCCTGAAATGGGCACTTTTTGTGACAGCAACCTCATCATTTTTGATCAAAGAAGTGGCTTAACTTCAGAATTTGAACTAAAATCAGTATTCTTATGATTGCTCTGAACATTTCAGACTGAGCTCAACAAACACTAAATTGCTTTTTCATAAACTTAAAATAAAAAATTAATAAAAATGTAGGTGTGACGGGGTTGAGACTAGGGTAACGGGGTTGAAGATGGTAACAGGGTTGAAGAGACAAATACATCTTAACATATAAATAGCTGTTTTTACTCAAATTCACTGTAAGATTTTCTATAAACACTGCATTTCATTATGTAACCAAGAAAGACAACCGACAGAAATTGCAATTGAACAGTTTTATTAACCTGACTGCAGGAACCATGCACTGTTAAATTGTGGGAACTTATATAGACAGGTGTGTGCCTTTCCAAATCCTGTGCAATCAACTGAATTTACAGCATGTGGACTCCAATCTAATTGTAGAAACATCTCAAGGACGATCAGTGGAAACAGCGTGCACCTGAGCTCAATTTTGAGTGTCATGGCAAAGGCTGTGAATACTTATGTGCATGTGATTTTTTTATTCTATTTTTTTGTAATAAATTTGCAAAGATTTCAAACAAACTTCTTTCACGTTGTCATTATGGGGTATTGTTTGTAGAATTTTGAGGAAAATAATGAATTTAATCCATTTTGAAATAAGGCTGTAACATAACAAAATGTGGAAAAAGTAAAGTGCTGTGAATACTTTCCGGATGCACTGTATTCAGTCAGTTTATAATGCTCTAATGTATACTAAGTTATTGTTGTTTTTCCTGCAGTCAGGTTAATAAAACTGTTCAAGCAGAGAAGGCTTTGCTGGCCCTGACGGCCCACCACTGGATTCAGTGACTCACTCTTTAATACTATTAACTTAGCTGCATATTTAAAAAGTATAATTTCTATATTTAAAATTGCATATTAAAGCTGATGTCTCATAACAATGTTTATGCAATTGCAGTGTGCATTCATGCCACCTTTGAGCTGCATTAAACATTAATGACTGTCCATTTACCTTTATTTAATAAATGCTATAAGTAAAAGAAGGCTACTGTTCATTGCATTCACTGCTGTTAACATATAATTTTCATGTTAGGTGTTATTTACTTTTTACAGCATTTAATAATCATGGGTAACGTGCAACTTTTTAACGTATGCAACTTTTAACATAAAAAATCTTTTGGTAATCTATAGAAATGAACATTTACCAATAAAGATTAATTAATGATGGAAAAATTAGTTCATTGTTAGTTCATATTGCCTATTGCATTAACAAATCTTTCTCCACCTTGTTGTAAAAGTTGCCTTTAAAGGTTATCAGGATGATAGTCAGAGATACGTGAAGGCCTACATTTCAACTGACAGTCAGATATGGCATGTTTGCTTGATTTTTTGTTTGCACTTCAAGTGTGTTTGTACGTATGTGAGATAGTCTTATGTGAAATCACAAACAAGTTTTAAATATTGTGTTCAGAAACATCACTCAAGAACGTTTTGGCCCATATGTGTGGCTATTATTTAAACTTTATTAAGCATAATGAAGCATTATTAAGCCTATTAACCATTGTTGATTGGTTTACTTACAACATTTGCATTCCTTTTCATTTATTCGAAAAAATATTTCTAAAAAATTAAGCTTGAGAATTTTTCCATCTGGCAGCTGGTGTCGTATATCAGCCGTGCGTGAGAAATGTGGTTCAAGTATAAGAAGTACAAAGAAGTCATGCTGTTACTTTGTCATACTTCTAATGTGAAAAAGGCATTACTACAGTCGCTGTACATACTTTCAATGAGCTTTATTAAATGAGTTTGCTTCCTTCTTTTCTGAGAAGATCAATAATATCAGGAAGGCGATTAGCACATCCCCAAGTTATGCAGAGGTTAGACAGATTCGACCAGATTTTAAATGTACTACAAGTGCACATTCAATACAATTAAGAATACTCAATTCACAAGTGATGGACCACGTTTATGATTCTTTGATGGTACTTTTGTGTTCTTTTTGAAGCTTGAAACTTTGTGCCCCACTGAAAAAAAACATTCATGGTTTTAGAACAACCAGTTTGATTAGATGATGACAGAATTTACATTTCTGGGTGAACAATCTTTTTTAAATAAACTTGCCTTGCCTTGCCTTTATTTTTCTTTTATTTCCAAAAAGGCACTTTTAGTGATTTATTGACATTGCTTATATTTGCCATGTAATTCCTAATTGAAACTGCATGCAAAGTGTGCATGAGGCAGAAACTCTCCTTCAGTATAGCCTCTTCATCAAAACATAATCTCTCATGGCATGAAGCAAAGCATGTGGATTACAAGATCCTCTCAAACTACACTTAAGGAAACACTAGCTCTGGCTTTGCTGAAGATAATACTGAACAGACAATTTGTCATCATAGGGATTCCCCTGTCACATCAAAGGAGGAAACATACTGAGGCTAATTTATAAACCGGCTACGTTCTTGACAATTTAAACTTCAAAAGTATTTTTGCCTGTATAAATGCAGCTTTGGTGAGCATGAGAGATGTTTTTAATTCAGATATATCATGTATATATAAACTCACCAACCCTACATTTTCAATAAATGCATATTAATTTGGTAATGCATATTATGATGCTACTATATTTTTTTAAATAATTTTTTTAATGTTTAAAAAATTTGTTGGTATATCTTAAAAAAGTTGAATGAAAAAAAATCATATGTAATCATTCACTCACCCATGTTGATCCAGAGTCGTGACGAATTTCTTCTGTGAAACACACACACAAAAAATAATTTTGTTAATAAACATAAAAGCATCAAGAAAGTAGTCTAAGTCATCCAAGTCATCTAAGGCTTTATTCGTTCACCAAACTGATACCACTATTTCCTCATGACTCAAGTGGCAGAGTGTGGATGTCAAGATATTCAGTGAACAATGACTTTAATTTCATTTCTGATCTTCAAATGAGTCATATCCTTTCTGAAAAAGAAATACACTTCAGCATACTTTTAAAAAGAACACTTATTAGGGATTTAATATACTTTTTTTTTTTAAATGCTTAAGTGTGAACTGAATGTTTTCGGACACTTGCATGTTATTTGAAATTAAATTAAAATGTACTATAATTTAAATTTATATTAAATGCAATTAGTTCAACTTAAGAGTGCTTTTGACCCACTGAAGTCAGATTTCAGCACAGCGTTGTAATTTCATAATTACTTTTATTACCTTTGAAATATGGTTAAAGTATACAGATAAATTTACTGACAAGCATTTATGATGAACTAAAATATTCTTTAAAATAGAATTTCACTGAATCTTGTATGCCATGTATTTACATTTGTAACTGCACATTTGTAATGAAGTTTATTTAAAATATATAACCTTTAAATGTAATAATCAAATAACACTACAATACTACAATTCAGAACAATAATCAAGTACTTATTCAAAATATCGAAATAAGTGTACTTCTTTGAGAATGACAAACAATTATTACAAAGTAATAATATACAATTTACTTTAAAACTTTTAATTTTACATGAAGAAACAGACAATTCAAGTCATTGTCCTTTTATTTCATTAATATTATATATATATATTGAAGCTTGAAACTTTGTGCCCCACTGAAAAAAAACATTCATGGTTTTAGAACAACCAGTTTGATTAGATGATGACAGAATTTACATTTCTGGGTGAACAATCTTTTTTAAATCCACCAAAACAATCTTAAATAGAGATAAACCCCATCCCTTTGCATTTCTTTTTGGGTTTTTGTTTCACTCTCACTCTGCAGGAGGACCCTGTAGCATTCGAGAGGCAATACAATGAGTCTCCTCTCCAGGCACTTCAAAGAGTCGAGGAGGTTTTGTCCCTCTACTTGCACCTCATCACAACCACAAACACTCCTGTTAACTGGACCTGTGAGCAAGAGTATAGCAGCAATCTACCCCCTACTGCAACACAGCTAACCACCAGCACAGGTGAATGCACACACACACACACACACACACACATTCAGCTTCAAGAAAACGAAACAGGTAGTAAAGCTGTAGGAAAGACTGAAATGATTTTCAAGCACACACACACACACACACACACACATCCCTGCAGCAATGATTAAACCCACGTTTGTCTTTTGAAAGAGGTCGCGGTGGGATTATTCGGGCAAGATCCTCAGGAGTCCTTCAGCGATGATTTTTACAGGCTGGGCTTCATTGTGGTCTCCATCTGTGGAGGATTTCTTATCGTACTCACTGCCTACTGCCTACTAGAGAGAAAGGTATGCTATTCCTCCATTAACGTAGACATAAATGCCATCTGAGCATCCAGAACTTTTATACACAATATGTTATAATGTGATAAGTTTCCATAAGGTCAAATGGGCAAAGCAATGATTTTTACACTATGACATGCGTTTGATCACTTCTCAGCAGCGTTCTATATGTATAAAGTTATATATTCTGGTGCTTTTGTTGACATATATGTGTGACAGGTAGTGACAAACATAATTTTGAGTTATTGCAAAGGCTTGGCAGGCTTCTATGTAGTGTATCATGATGAAAGACCTCCAGCCAGCACAATGTTCTTCACCTCAATCTGGTATTGATTTGTGATGGTGTGTATGTCTAACACTAGAAAGCCTTTGGTTCTTTAGAAGTTGTGTTGGACTATTAATATCAGATGAAATGACAAAACAGCCTTATGTGATGTTTTTTTTTTAAGTGGAAATGAAAGTAAAGCCATTTTTAAAAAGTTGAGTGATTCTTGAAGCATTTTCATAGTGGAAAATATTCTCACATTACCAAAAAATTAAATACTACAGACTTCATAAGTAACTACGTAAGAACTAAATTACTTTGTTGTAGCAGTTAATGAAGTCTTTTCGGCTAAATGTGGACCAGAAAATCACTCCAGATTATTCAGGTTAGGAAAATCAGACCCAAGAGTCCATTATTTAGCAAACCAACACAGGTTTTCTTGCAATATATGTTAGTACCCGCTAATGCAAAGCAGTCCCACAGCATGACACTATTATCACCTTACTGAAATTCTCTGTAGATATCAGTGGTAGAGGTATTTCGCCACAAGTATGCTTGCGAATTTTGACTTGGAGGCTTAGAGAGTACACTTTCATGTTTCTTAACACAGTTAAGCATACTTTTAAAAAGTGCATTTTGTAATAATATCCAAAAAAAAGTTTTACTTTGAGTTACATTTTAATTAATGTTTTCATAATCTTGTGTCATGCTTTAAAGTACACTTATTTTGATGTGCTGACTAACATATTAAAGGTGACATATCAAGAAAATCTGACTTTTCCCCGTGTTTAAATGCTATAATCGTGTCCCCGGTGCATCTATCAACCCAGGAAACGTGAAAAAGATTAACCCAGCAATTTTTTTGGTAAACCTTTCTCTGCAAGCTTGTAAAAAAACAAGCGCATCAGATTTCACTCCCCCCGTGACGTAGAAAGGGGATCTTATTATAATATTACCGCCCTTAATCTGCAAGTTTCCACCCACGGCGCCGCCATTGTGTTTTCGCAAGCGACAACAACGGTGTACCAGTTTGGCAAAGGTTCGAGAAGGCATGTTAAATGTTTTGTCGTTGGCTGCACAGATGAGCACAGAACACTATTTAGAGTCCCAGCTTCAGAGGAGACAAGAGAGCAATGAATTTACTGATTTATTTACTGTATATTACGCTGATGCCACACAGATCTAATATAAACATGCAATTTATTTCCCAGCGGTTTACCTTCACAGACATAACCGACTGTTTTTATAACTCAGGTGTGTTTTTAACATAAACTTATGTATATTTGAAAGAGAACTTAGTAATCACATGCTTTCTGTGCGCATGCTTCAGATGTTTGCACTCAGAAAACTGTATCAGAAGTTTAAACTAATATGGTTTAAAGCGCATGATTTCAGCACGATAGACATGATAATAAAAACTAAACAGATGTTTTTTTAGCAGAGTATCTGAGGAAGGAGCTGTAAAGGCACAGCCCTATTCTGGAAAAGAGGGCGGGGAGCAGCAGCTCATTTGCACTTAAAGAGACATGCATGAAAACAGCGTGTTTCTGCTTCCACTCAAAATAGGCATTTTTTAAATGATACAATAAATGATCTGTGGGGTATTTTGAGCTGAAACTTCACAGACACGTTCTGGGGACACCAGAGACTTATATTACATATTGTAAAAAGGGGCATAATAGGTTTCCTTTATAGCACTTGTAAAGTAATTGATTATACTTTTAACTGTAGTCTGTTATTCAATGGTACATTTCAAGTTAATATATTTTAAATGTACTAAATTACAACTTCATCATTATAAATGTGTAATTACAAATACATGTAAATACATGACATACACATCAAGTCAAGTCAAGTCAAGTAAACTGCTTTAGTTAAAGGGGTCATATGATGCTGCTAAAAAGAACATTATTTTGTGTATTTGGTGTAATGAAATGTGTTTATGCGGTTTAAAGTTAAAAAAACACATTATTTTCCACATACTGTACATTATTGTTTCTCCT